TTGATCCGTGGAGCGGCAACTCGGAATCCGCTATTAGCAGTATATCGTCGACGTGGTTATCGCGCAGCTATTTGTCGGATCAGCCTTACGCCCACGTTGTGAACGTCTTCGGCAAACAACGCCCCTCCCCTCCCCCTCCGCACAAGGGCGCGTCACTCGGCGAACCAGCCAACTTCCGGCAAAGGAACGGACGGATCCGCCGCAACTTTCCTTCCACAACGTGGCGAGGAGGGCTGCTCCCCGTTCAAACTCCACGAGTTACGAGCTCGATCCGCGAATTCCGCTTCCGCGAATAATTATTGCACCGCGGGCCAAGCACCGAGCAAGTTGGCGTCACGCGGGGGAGGAGGGGGAGGGCACCGGTTATCGCTCGAGGGAAACGCAACCCCCAAGTTTCCTCCGGGATGAGGGAATTTTCGCGACGAGGGGAAGAAGGAAGGCAAAGCAGGTGATGGTGGTTGGCGCATCGAAGATTATTGTGCTAACAGGTTCGAAGGTTTCGGCTTCTCGAGGGTTCTCGTTAGGTAAACTCGAGATTCGGAAGCCTGGCGGTGTTCTGGTAACTGATCTCACAATTATTATTACAGGGGGAATAAAATCTCCCGGATGGATTTCGAAATAATTTTCGCGGGGGATATTATCGTTAGCTTCGTTTATTATTCCACGAATTTAGCCCCTCTTTCCTTTCCATATTACGAGATAAGGGCGATGTATTCGAGAAAAAAACAACGATCCGAATATATATATATATCGTTATTTTCCCCTCCTGCTATGCGCTCTATGCGGTAGCGCAAACAAATGAATATTTCATTGGTTAGGAAGGGGGTGGAGAGGCGGTGTAAGAGTTGGCCGCACAGCGTCGTTCGTATAATTGATTTCAATCGAATCGCGGAGGAAGGAGCATCGAGCCAAAGAGTGTTCCAACGGAACCGGATATAGAAAAGTTTGCGGCCCACCCAAGAGAGATCAGGTTAAGGGTTGAAGAAGAAGGGGAAGGAGGAGGAGGAGGGAAAAAAAAAAAAAAGATGTTCCATG